TGTCTTGTTGGTATCTGCTCCCTTGTCCTGCAAAGGGGAAAAGATGTGAAGCTTCTTTCAGTATCAACAACTGGTTTATGTATAAGCAACTCCCTTAAATGCCACATCAATAAGTTCAGGAGCCACAGCTACACGCTCCGCAGTATCTACAGAAAATATCCCTATAAAGAAAAAGATGAGTCTCTATCGCTGTTTATAACATGGAATTTCTTACCCTGACCACTGATTTAACTAGGAAGGCCACTGCCATTGCTTCTTCGAAGTGATGCCAAGTTGGCAAGACAGACCTCTAATATTAATGCAGACAAGAACGCTGCTTAGCTGAGATGCTCCCCCGCATCCAGCCACCCGCTTCTCCCTCTACCCACGTTAGCAACAAAATCAACAGCAGACATAAGGTTTTGACTGTCACCAGCCTGATGAGAGAGATTTCACCAAAGCTTCCTTGCCCTACCTGAAGTATCACCCCTGGAAGGCGACAAAACATCATGTAGTCCTCTGTAATTGCACATGTCTTCATGACAGCATTCCAATGTGGACAGGGTGGTGGTGCCAGAGTGGTTTTGTGCTTGTTTGGCTTGGCAGATATCAGCTGTGCTTGCAATAGAGTCCAAGCAGCCATGAGTAAGTGGGGAATGTGTATTCTGAGGATCAAGCAGTCTGGAGAAGCAGGCGCTAAGCTCAGATTTGCACATGTAGCCGGTTGCAACACAGTGTGCAGCATCACAGTAGCATCTGATTTCACCTAAAAAATAAAAATTGTGCAAGAAAGGTCAGAATTTGGTCCTTTAAGGCCACCTCACTATGTACTCTTACAAGCCACAAGCATCACAGCCAAACTCAGTGCCGGTTTCGGGGTATTCCTCCAGACTCTGAATCCATGAGAGCAGAGGTTGTTTCCTTCCTATCACTGTACAGTGCTTACCTCGCTGTAACCTTAATCCCTGCAAATGCCTTGGGGGACTTGTTTTAATTACTAGTACTATACTCCTTTGAATTAAAGCAAGAACACTTCACTGAAACAGGGATTGGGGGAGGGCGGGGGGGGGCCCAAGGAAGGTCACAGTAGCTTTTTTCCCCAAGGTAAATAGCTAACAAGGCCATTTTATAGCTACTTCCACTCACTGTCAGCAGTTGCATTAAACCACATTCAAAATGAAATCCCAGTTTTAAAAGCAACACACACCTTCAGTCCTGTAAAGAAGTTACATCTAGGTTTTAAACCATTACTACAGGAACAGAATTCTATTTTTATAAAGGTAACACTTCTTTTAACTTGGGCATAAGCACACAACAAAAATACTAGGATTAAATATTTGTGTGACAAATGAAAAAAAAAAAATCGGAACTACTGAATTGTTTATTACCTCTCAATACTGTGCCAAAATGTAAAAGGTTTAACTAACACCTTATAAAGCTATTAGCTAGAACCATTACCATCTAAGTCTCCCAGCCAGGAAGGTTTTTTACTGTGTAAAACTGGGCAACTACTTGTAACTTCTCCAGAAAGAGAGAAATTCTCTAAGTAGCCATTCATGCAAAGAGGCTTTTTTTTATCAGCATTATAAAACAGAAACAGTGCAGTTGACAATCTGTTCACCAGAGTCAATGTCTCTCAACTCAAATGTAAAGTTATTAAATGGCATGAAATTGCAAGGCTTAAAGCTCCCCCTTGCCCCTCCCCAATTTTGCATGCAATCCAACATGCGGTCAAAAGGGGAAACACTTAGACTGAAAATCCTCTACCGGCTCTATGAAAAATCTCTCAGGAAACCTCAAAAATTTCTGAAGGAAGCGATAAAAAAGTTCCCTTCATAAAACTCTTCATTTTGTGCTCTCCAAACTGCTCTGGTATGAATTATGTGTGTCCTGTGCTTTTTTTTTGAAAACTTACTCTTTCTAGGCAAGTTGCAACTCAAACATGATTCAATGTGCCATCGATCCAAGGTTTAGGAGGAAGCCAGATTTTGGAGCCATCCTTAGAAGAGCAGACTTAAAACTACTTCTAATGTGCCTGGTGTACTTGCCGTCACAGAGGCACCAAGGCTTTCTTTCAAAGTCCACTGAATTGTCAGATGTCTTCCTTCTGCAGTCTGCGCTTCAAAAAAATCAATCTACAAGCTTCCCTGCTGCCACCCTTCTCATGATGCTTCCTACCATCCCGTACCTAAAAAGTATTCTGAAAGATGTTAAAAATGACCCACACCAAGTTAGCTTCCCCTCTTCAGCCTACCTTAACACTTTCCCCAAAATGCTACTGCGGGCTCCAGGCCTTGAAGTTCCTGCTGCTCTTTAATAACTCTGCTTAATAGAAGCCAAATGATGGAGTGTCTCACTGTCTCCAGCCCAATTCCCTTGGGCTTTTAAACCAAGTAACCTAATTTTTTGTGAATTTACACACACTGCCATCCAGTATGTTACGGGGTGGGGAAAAAAAAAAACACCACAAAAAAAAAACCACCACAAAAAAACCCCCCAAACCTTAAGACTTAATAATTTTCTAAGCATTTTATGTGAGGTCTTCCCCCTATACTCTCCGAAAAAATAACTTTCCTCATTTTCTCACTGTATGAGAGTTGAAAATAAGATGCAAACAAGGAACAGCACCAGAGCTGACAGTCCTTTCATGAGCCTCAGCACAGCGCAGGATAAAAGTGAAACAACATGCATACTTCCATTTTAATTGTTTGTACAATCACGCTTAAAATTCTACATTTTACTGATGTAGGACAATCTTATAAACAAAATCCGACAGGCTAGTCACCAGGTTAATTCAACTGCTTTTTAATTAAAGCCACGTTTTCGGTGAAACAGAATGGACTTTGTATTACTGTATTAAAACTGTATTTCTGTCAATTCATAAAGTTTCTTCCTGTGCTATGCAAAAGGCCAGAAAGGGTATTTAGTATTTTGAAACAGTGAACAATGCCCTTCTGTTCCCTCCTCTTTCTTGTTACTGTATGTAGCTATTAAAGAAAAATGTCTGCTTTTAGTCAAGATGGCTACAGGAGAGACTGCAGGCTTCTCTTAAAGCTTTTGAAGTCAACAGCAGCCAGAAGTCTGTGATCCCCTAATTATATCATTATCAGGCACATAGTTTCAGTATCTGCGACTTCACATCACTCAGTCACTCCCTGTTCTGCCCGCTTTGATGGGGCCAGCAGGCTCCCCCCTGCACGCTGCAAGGGCTGTTATTTAGGGTTAATTACAGCCTTCCTTCCAAAATAAATAAATACCGTCGCACACCGTCGCCGCGCTAACTTATCCCTCACCCTCCTCCCCGCGGCACGGCGAC